CAGAAATCCGCGCGGACCTCCGACAGTTTATATGTTTGTGTCACAGCTTGTTCCCCGAAGGCAGCAGCGGGGCGCGCTTCCACGTCGAGTTCGTTGTCGGCAAGGACCGCCGCGCGTACCGGGCGGACGGCAGGATCTTGGAGGCCGGCGGGAGCCCAGAGCGCGGCGCGCCGGCGTCAGCAAGGGCACGCCTTCGGTTCGCAAGGAGGAGGAGGAGGAGGAGGAGGAGGAGGAGGAGGAGGAGGAGGAGGTGGGGATGGGTGCAGGAGGAGGAAGAAGAGGAGGAGGAGGAGGAGGAGGAGGAGGAGAGGAGGAGGAGGAGAGAGGAGGGGGGTATGGGTGAGATGTAGTGAGGAGGCGAAGGAGGGAGCGGGGAGGGGGAGAAAGAGGAAGAGAAAGAGAAAAGGAGAAGAGGAACTGCTAAGGCGGCTCGTGCGGGAGGGGTCCTCGGGCAGGCCCGGGCATGGCACAGCACCGCGCAGCGCTCCGTGGCACCACGCGGCGCCGCGTGGGCTGCGGATTCGACGCAGCGCCACGCGGCACCACGCGGCGGGCAAGGGGTGCGGCAGATCGGGGAGCTGTTTGCCCGTGGCAGGGCCCTGGCCAGGAGGATCAGAAAGAGGAGACTGGCAGGGGCGTGGCGGGGAGAGAAGGGGAGGAGGAGGAGGAGGAGGAGGAGGGAGAGAAGGAGAGGGAAAGTGGGCTTGACGAGAAAGGACGGAGGAGGAGGAGGAGGAGGAGGGGAGGAGGAGGAGGAGGAGGGCATGGAGGGGAGGAGGGCGAGGAGGGAGGAGGAGGAGGAGGAGGAGGAGGAGGAGGAGAGGAGGAGGAGAGGAGGGGTGAGGTGCAGGAGGAGGAGGAGAGGAGGAGGAGGAGGAGGGGAGGAGGAGGGAGGAGGAGGAGGTGGAGGAGGAGGAGGAGGAGGAGGATATGAGGATGAGGAGGAGGAGGAGGAGGAGGAGGAGGAGGCGCAGGAGGGGAAGGCGAGGAGGACGACGAGGAGAGGAGCGTCTGCGAAGGGCGACGGCGGGCTAGGCTGGGGCCGAGCGAGCTCGGCGCGCCCCCCTCGAGCGCGCGCGAGGCGCGGAGCGCCTACTTCCGCTCGCTGCTCTCCGGCGGCATGCTCGAGTCCAGCGCGGGGAAGCCAGTGGACCTGGGGGAGGACGTGGGCGGCGAGGCGCTCGAGGCAAGCAGGAGGATGAGGATGAGGATGAGGATGAGGACGAGGATGATGATAATAATGATGAGGATGATGCTGATGATGATGCTGCTGCTGCTGATGATGATGATGATGCTGATGCTGTTGCTGATGATGCTGATGATGCTGATGATGCTGATGATGCTGATGATGACGATGATGCTGATGACGATGGTGGTGATGCTGTTGATGATGAGGATGGTGGTGGTGGTGGTGATGGTGGTGGTGGTGATGATGCTGCTGATGATTGCGATATTGGTGATGCTGATGATGATACTGAGTATGAAGATGGCGATGGTAATGATGATGATGATGATGATGATGATGATGATGAGACTGATTATGATGACGCTGATGATGATGATGAATATGTTAATGATATGGTGGTGATGATGATGACGATGCTGAGTCTGAATATCAATGAACACTTGTATGAAGATGAAGATGCATATGAATGTCACTATGCATATGATGATGCTGATGGTGATGCTGATGTTGTTGATGACGATGACATTGATGATGCTGCTGATGATGAGGATGGGCATGATGATGATCGTGATCATGATCATGCCCGTGAAGATGAGGAGGACGATGAGGATACTGATGATGGAAAGGAAATAATAATCATACACAGCTAGTAAGAAGAAGACGAATCATATGCTGATGATGGTGAAGTTGATGATGATGATGATGCTGCTGCTGCTGATGATGATGAGGAGGAGGAGGAGGAGGAGGAGGATATGATGATGATGATGATGAGGAGGAGGAGGAGGAGGAGGAGGAGGAGCAAGAAGAGGAGGAGGAGGAGATGGAGGTGGATGATACCGAAGCCTTGGCGCGTTCGGAGCATTCTGGCCTTTCGCAAAAATGGGCGGGTCGAGGGTTGCAGGAAGGGGACAGCAAAGCGGCCCAAGTTGGGGCTCCCTCGGGCCCCGAGGGTGCACGAAAGGTGTACCTTTCTTCACCCCCACCCCCCGTTGATTGCCCCCGCATCAAGCAACGCCCGAGACTCGGAGTTCGACGTTTCCGTGCGTTGAATGATCGTGGTTTGCGGACGCTTCTGTAAGTTCCCACAAGTTTGCCAGCCTCAAGATGCTTTCCAGCAGCTGCACCTCCGGATGAATGAATGAGGAGGAGGAGGATGAGGAGGGGGAAGAGTTCGAAGTTGTCGTGCGTGCGTGCGAGGTCGAAGGTTTGTGGAAGATTCTCTAAGTTCTGGGAGGCTTGCCAGCCTCAGCTCCAAGTATGGCCCCAGTGGCTGCGACAGCACGCGCACCTCCCATTTCGGCACACCCCGTGCCCCACAGGGAGATTCACCTACTTGCTCAGTGGGCGCGCTCGCATGACACACCACTCAAGCGGATCACGCTCCTTTGGCAGCCCCCAATCGGAGGCTTAGCATCACAGTTATATGAAGCTGCTAAGGGTCGGACATTCGCCCGGACTTAGTTGTTAAGTTTGGGGCGTCTTGAGTACCTGTGGCGCCGTCTTGACGCCATCTTAGCTGTCTTGACGTTTTGTTGGGTTGTTTCGAGGACTTCTCGAACTGCCTTGAGATTCTCTTTGAACCTTCTTGGTCCATTTTGGGACTGTCCGCTCATGGATACGTCTGTGGTTTTGCTCAGTGTTTGAAGGCCTGGGCCCGAATGTATCCCGGATGTGTATGTGTGTGTGTGTGTGCGTGGAGGTGGGACCCAGTTTCACCATGTAAGAGCAATGGAGAACGAATGTCCATGTTTGCGCAGAGTTCCTACGTGGACTTGCATTCGGAAAGGTGCATATGCGGTGCCCAGTCATGTGATTGAATTCGCCGCCGTCAACGCGAAACATCTTCACACACTCGAGCAAACGTGAGTAGTGAAGGCTTCAGTCTAGTATAGGCATGCATGCATGCGAAGCTCAACCACAGGACTCGTGCTCAGTCGCAAGATGATGGTGAAGTATCAGAGGGGAGACCATCGCAGCATCCAACGGCGCCACCTCAGAGGCGCACGTCCGAGTCAGTTGTGCCTGCTGGCGTCGCAGTGGATGTCTGAGTTGAGAGTGCGGATGCAAGACCAACCAGCGCAAGCGTGCAGATGCTTCGCGCCACGTTGACGCGGCGGCAGCCACGGCGTGGGTGTTCAGAGCTGAACGGCTGCCGGAAAGCCGCGATCGCCAGATGGTCCACGCGGTGTCAGAAGCCAATGCGGGCACCATCGCGACGCGAGCCCGCCGTGCACCACCCTCCCCCCCCACAGGCCGAGATTGGGCGACAACTTAAAAACAGTCACAACATACACCACAATCATCAAACATAGTCGAAGCATCGTCCCCATAGCATTTTTGGGGCTATTTTTGAATACCCCTCCTGTAGAGGGGCAGGCCCGACTTAACGCCCCCCCCCCCCCCCCTCTGCCAGCGCGGCCGCTGGACATCTGGGCACCCAGACCCCTGCCACTGGGCGCTGCGCCCCTGGCCGCGGGAGCCATGGCGCGAGGGGGCTCGCGACGCGGCGGCGGCGGCGCAGGCCGGGGGGGGCGCGGCGGCCGCGGCAAGCGCGGGCCGGGCGCCGAGAAGTACGGGGAGGATCCGGCGGACGCGGCGCTGAAGCTCCATGACGAAGAGGCGCCGAGGGGCCGGAAGCCACGGCCCGACATGCTAGGAGGAGGAGGAGGAGGAGGAGGAGGAGGAGGAGGAGGAGGAGGAGGGGGAGGAGGAGGAGGAACAAGGAGCGGAGGAGGAGGAGGTGGAGGAGGAGGAGGAGGAGGAGAGGAGGAGGGAGGGAGGAGGAGGAGGAGGAGGGGGGGGGAGGAGGAGGGGGAGGGGGAGGCGGACAGAGACGAGGTGGAGGAGGAGGAGGAGGAGGAGGAGGAGGAGGAGAAGGAGGAGGAGGAGGAGGAGAAGGAGGAGGAGGAGGAGGAAAGGGGGACTGGGAAGGGGGAGGGGATGAGGGAGGGGGAGAAGGAGGCAGAGTAGCGAGGAGGTGTAGGAGAAATTCGGGGAGGAAGTGGACGGAGACGAGGAGAGCGACCGGAAGACGGAGGAGGAAAAGAGAGTCAGAGGGAGTGAAAATGACAGGAGGAATTGGAGGAGCAGGGGAAGTGGAAGTTGAGATGGAGGTGCAGAGAAGAGGAGGAGGGGCATGGGGATGGCCCCACTGGGCGGTCCGTCGCTGCTTCTGCTCCCGCGGGGGTCCCTTGGGCCCAGGGGCCGTGCGGGGACCGGCCCCACCAGGCAGGCCTCCTCCGCCTCGTGCATGGCCTCCTCACGCTCTCTCGACTTCTCCTCGCCCTTCGCGCACTGCACTCCCTGCAGCGCCTCGACCCCGAAGCCCCCCTCGGCCGCCCGTCGGGCGCCCTGCGCAGGCGTTCGCTCCGGGGGCCATCGGGGGGGAGCGGGCGAGGCTCTCTTCCCGGGGCCTGCGGGCCGTGCCGTGCGAGCGTCTCGTGTGTCGGCCCCTGCCTTCTCTTGCGGGCCAGGCATCGGCACCGTCGGGGACTCCTGGGCCCTCCGGTGGCCGCACAGGCGGACCCGCTCGGTGGGGGGGGGGAGGGGGCTACTTCTGCCCCCTCCCCAGATCGGGCTCCGCCTGCCCCGCCGTCTTCCTGGGGCTAGCGGCGGACGTGAGCACCGGGCTTGCTCTCTGTGCTGCTCCCTGCCGTCGTGGCGCTCGGGCTGCCGCGGCCCGCGGCGGCCCTCTGCGGCGGCGGCTGCCGAGGGGCCCTGGCGCCTCGCTGGCTGGGAGGCGCAGGCCCGCCACCCGAGCGCGCGAGGCGATCGAGGCCCCCCCCCCCGGGGGGGGGGGGGGGGGGGGGGGGGG